GGGGTGAGGGGGTGATGAGGGGTTATGGGGGTGATTGGTTCATGAAGGGTTATGGGGTGATGGGTTGATGAGGCGTTATGGGGGTGATGGGTTGATGAAGGGTTATGGGGGTGATGGGGTGATGAGGGGTAGCCTCTGCCAGGATTTCATTGCTAGTAAGCAGTAACGGCGCCTCACCACTCTTCATAGAGTCAGGTAAAGATTCACAATAGTCAAGTCTCTTTAGGGTCCTGGTGAGAAAAATTGGTCCGGATCTGGAAAGATGTAATAGATCCACCATGTGGCTTCTCCTTCGAGGACAAAGGCAGAACTTCTCCTCCTAGTAGAGCAGAGCCAGGATAGCTGGAGCAACCCAAGTGGAAGGGGACTGACCTCCGATGACCCATCTTGTGTGCAGTGAATTCGAACCAGGCCAGCCAACCAACACATAATTTACCTTAATTTTGCAAACAATAGAACTGCTGTGTGAAGTTCAATGTTGAGTAAAAGATTAGGTTGGGCCGAGTCTTCTCTTGTTCCTATGGATACAAGGTGAGCCTATACTTGAGGTGAGGAAACATGGAGACCGGCTATGGTTGGGAAAGGGGTGGTTGACCCAGTGAACGAGGTCCCAGTTCAGCTTTACAGTTTATGTTCTTGGACTTTGCTTTGTTGTACTTTTTTTTGCAAAGCCCAAATTCCTTTTCTAAAATCTTACCGAGTGTCCCCACTCCCGGGATAGAACTCATAGTGAATATGAAAAAGAACACACGCCGCCTGGCTTCCTTAATGGGACTTCCGGTATCGGTATTCAGTATCGGCGAGTACCGGCGCTATTGGTGCATCCCCATCTATAACCATTGGGTGAGAATTGGGCCATGTCCGGGTTCCCTGCCGAGTGACAACAGGAATCTCCTATCCTTCTAACACATCATTGGTTACACCAGGAAGTACCGGCCCGGCGTATGTGACGCGTTTCTTCATCTCTCAGGTTGTCTCCCAAACATGCCCCCGAAGTGGTTGATGACAGCAAGGACAACATCACCTTATTCACCCGGATCCTGGACAGGCTTCTGGACGGATATGACAACCGGCTCAGGCCGGGGCTGGGGGGTAAGGAGAGGACGATTCTTCATTATGGGGAACATTCTACAGAAGGGAATTTGCACTTAGCTTGGTGAATGTGGTGAAGCTTTGCACTTAGGTTGGTGAATGCGGTGAAGTTTCAATTTGAAAGAGAATTTGCACTTAGTTGGGTGAATGTGGCGAAGTTTCACTTTGGAAGGGAATTTGCACTTAGCTTGGTGAATGTGGGGAAGTTTCACTCTACAAGGGAATTTGCACTTAGCTTGGTGAATGTGGGGAAGTTTCACTCTACAAGGGAATTTGCACTTAGCTTGGTGAATGTGGGGAAGTTTCACTATGGAAGGGAATTTGCACTTAGCCTGGTGAATGTGGCGAAGTTTCACTATGGAAGGGAAATTGCACATAGCTTGGTGAATGTGGGGGAGTTTCACTATGGAAGGGAATTTGCACATAGCTTGGTGAATGTGGCGAAGTTTCACTATGGAAGGGAATTTGCACATAGCTTGGTGAATGTGGCGAAGTTTCACTATGGAAGGGAATTTGCACATAGCTTGGTGAATGTGGCGAAGTTTCACTTTGAAAGAGAATTTGCACTTATTTGGGTGAATGTGGGGAAGTTTCACTCTGCAAGGGAATTAGCACTTAGCTTGGTGAATGTGGCGAAGTTTCACTATGGAAGGGAATTTGCACTTAGCTTGGTGAATGTGGCCGAGTTTCACCATGGAAGGGAATTAGCACTTAGCTTGGTGAATGTGGGGAAGTTTCACTCTGCAACGAATATCCAATCCCGGGCAAGGAATATAAACAAAAAATTGTAACTTTTGCTTGCAAGTAATTGGATGATGAAAGTCAGCAGAGCTTCACCTCATTCACTAATCTGAGGGAATGATTCCCCTGCCATGTGAACAACCTATTTGCCTTTAGTGAATCAGAATTCTGACACAATGAGGCAGATTTACTAAAGGAGTTGATAATGTTCACACAATGAATCCAATCCCGTGCAGAGCTATAGGTGAGCAGGCACTGATATATGATGTGTAATGTATTTGTATGATGTAATATTCGCTAGAAGCTACACAGTTTTCTATGAATATAATCACTTCCTAATTTTTCAGAATCAGTGACGGAAGTGAAGACCGAAATATACGTCACCAGCTTCGGCCCCGTGTCGGACACGGACATGGTAAGTGAACGTTTTTGGATATATTTTCTTTTCAAGCCAAGTGTATTGAGATGAAATACCTCATTGTGGCCACTAGATGGAGCTGTTGCGCTGGAGAAATAAGCATTTGTTTCCTGTGCTCTTCATCTCCATCCAGTGGCCACAATGAGGTATCACATCTCAAACCATTCGACCTGAAAAGAAAATACCAAAGAAGGTTTGTTTTTGGGTCTATTCGCACAGAAGCGGCGTTCAGAAAGATTCGTCGGGCCAATGGCTCTGTGAATTGGTTATAAATAGACCCCATGTGTGTCTCAATTTGTTTGTACTGACCTCTCTTGACCCCTTCCTCTTTTAGGAGTACACGATAGATGTCTTCTTTCGACAGAGCTGGCTGGACGAGCGGCTGAAATTCGACGGGCCTATAAAGACCCTGCCCCTGAACAACCTGCTGGCCAGCAAGATCTGGACCCCGGACACCTTCTTCCACAACGGAAAGAAGTCAGTGGCTCACAATATGACAACACCCAACAAGCTGCTGAGGCTCACCTACAATGGGACCCTGCTGTACACCATGAGGTGACTCGTCCTTGGATGTGGATGTTGTATCACTGTCCATAGAGGTGTCATGTGACCAGGCTCATGAGGCGTCATGCACTCCGCAGGACGTCGCAGGTTCCTTGTCATGCAGATCTAGGCCTGGTATGACCAGGGGCAGATCGGCACATCGGCAGGATTTACTCTCCCTGCCGCCCCAAGGCCAGGAATGGCAACCAGATGGAAGGTTAGCGGGGTTAGTTTCAATTTTTTTTTTACTGTTTCTTTATTTTTTTTTAACTTTTTTATCACTTTTTATTTAATTATTTCTTATTTTTTTAATTTTTATTTATTTAATCATTTTTTATCAATTTCATTTTTTTTTCTATTTATCTTATTTACTTTTTTTT